CGAATGAACAGCATCAATCTTCCTGAAAAACAATGACGTAGCTGGATTTTGGCTCGTTTTGCTGATGGTGACACACACGCCTGGCATCTAAGAGACGTTTGCTTTTTTTTTATTAGGCAACTGTCCAGCTTCATGTGCCTTAGCTGGTCTGGGATGACATAATAAAAATGACATACTGCCATTGAGACGCTTCCATCTGGTGGTTTTGGAAGTCAGATGTTACAAGTTATGAACAAAACATCTTTCACTGGCTTAATATAGTCACACATCACCCGGATACGACAACACTGATCATTAGTTTCATTATGATCAGTGACGTGCTCTTATTTATTTGTAGTTTCAAATGGTTTTCTTCATTTTGGTCCTGATGTTGGTTGCACCAGCCACCTATAGTTAAGTTAAAGTTTGCACATCATTAATGCACCACACAAACTTGTTTTTACATTGAGGTTAGTTGCCACTAAATATTCACAGTTCCTTCCTTCACAAAGCAAGATTTTTTGACTTGTTAAGTTTCAGCTAATTCACATGTTTGCAGTGAAAAAAAAAATGCATGTCTCATTGTATGCAAGAGATGGCGGAATGGAGCTACGCAAATGTTGGGATGATGACCGCATTACTGAGCATCAGAGGAGAGTTTTAGTAGAGTCAACTGTTGATTTAAGGTGGCAAAAGTCTCGAGGATGTTCTGTACTATTTTATTTTTTGTTGTAGAACACTGGGTTTGTCTGGAATTCAACAACGAAATGTTTGGCATCCCAGGCTCTCAAAAAAATCAACATCCAATATATTCCACTGCTGTATTAGGTGACAAAAGTTGGGGAAACTCTTTGCAGCACCATAAAAAACAATGGAATATCCAGTTTGGTGTTGTTTGTCTATTGCAACAAGTAAAAGCATGTGCACATGCACTCCTATACCATCATGAATACTGGCTTTTGAACTGTGCATTGATAACAAGCTGAGTGGTCTTTAGCCCGGAGGACACAGTGTCCATGATTTCCAAAAAGAATTTCAAATGTTGATTCTACAGACCACAGGACACTTTTCCACTTCACCATAGTCCATTTTAAATGAGCTCGGGCCCAGAGAAGGTGGGGGTATTTCTGGATCCTGTTTATAGAGGATTATAGAATTAAATGAGCACTGAGTTAAGTATCCATTGTAATGTACTGTACTGCACTTATTAAATGTATTGTATTGTATTGTATTGCACTGCGCTGTGTTTAACTCTGTTCCTTTTTTCTCTGGGTATCAATAGGGACTTTTTGTTTCTAGCAGTATCTGAGCTCAGGACCAGCTTTCTCTCTAACCTACTGGTAACTAGCAAAGATACTTTCTCTAGATAGACAAAGCACTTTTTGTAAGTCGCTCTGGATAAGAGTGTCTGGCAAATGCTGTAAATGTAAATGTAGTTTCTTCTTTGCATTTAACTTGCATGTGTGGATGCAGCAATGAACTGTTTTCACAGACAGTGGTTTTCAGAAGTGTTTCTGAGCCCATGCAGTGATTTTCACTAGAGAATTGTGTCTGTTTTTAATGGAGGGCTGCCTGAGGGCCCAAAGATCACGGCCAGCAAATACTGGTTTTTGGCCTTGTCCCTTGCATACAGAGATTTCTCCAGATTCTCTGACTCTTTTAATGACATTATGTACTGTAGATGATGAAAAGCAAAAGTCCTTTGCTATTTTATGTGAAGAAACATTATTCTTGAATTGTTGCACTGTTTGATCGTGCAGTCTTTCATGGAGACTCAGCCTCTCTGGGATGCTTTTTTATACCCAATCATGTTACTGACCTGTGGCCAATCAACCACCAGGTGTATTTTTAGTATTATACAACTTTAATTCCCTAAAATTTCTCAGCTTTAACATTTGATATGTTGTCTTTGAACTATTTTCAATGAAAAAAGGGTTTAAATGATTTGCACATCATTGCATTTTGTTTTTATTTACATTCTGCACAGCGTCCCAACTTTTTTGGAAATGGGGTTGTACATTGAACATTCACCTTTGTATTACTGCATATGCTATGTGTTAACTAGCTATGACATTTATTAAGGATTGGTGGTGCAACCAAATTTAGTAGAATGACAGTTTTAAACTAAGGCCTCAGCAAAGACCCAACTTTAATCATTTGCATACAGCTGGTGCAACTCGGGCCAGCAGTACAGCTACACTGCACAGTTTGGAGCTGTCTGCTCTAATGCTCTCAAGAGCAGCTTGCTAATTAGGTAATGAGTTGAACCGAGCAGACCTCAAATCAGGACGTCCTCTGAGACTCGACCTCTGAGAGAGCCGGGCCTGTGTGTGGACAAAACGTGAGCTGACTATATGACAAGGTGCTTTTCAGGAAGGTGAGACGAAAATAAACAGGATGGAAACATCTACAATATTTGGCAAGCTTTAGCGGCCAAATGACGGCTTGGCCACAAAGCCCATTGTGAAGGGAAGAAATGTACCCTTGAGGTCTGAGCACACATGGCATATGGGAATGGCATAAGCCAGGAGTGTCAAACCTACGGCCTGGTGGAACAGCCTGGTTCTTATCCGGCACGCCAGATGAATTTAGAATCCATGTTCTAAATTAAAATCATATTTTGGACCATAATAATAACGTGATGCTCAAACAATCACTGATTAGCAGCTATCTTCAAGTGCTACTTTACAACAAACTTGCAGTGAGAACGCAGGCAGTAGTTCATCTGAGTTCTTAGGTGAGGAAAAGGTGTTTCAAAGGAATGTATAAAGTCTGATCCCGGTCATCTGGAGGGGGGAGCTGTTTTTATTTCAGTCTTGAAGCTTGGATTGGACTATAGCGAAGACCATACACGAAGTTCAATGCCAAAACTATTAATGAAACTCTCTAAGGTAAGCTAAACTTAACCTAGGTTAGTGCATTTGCTAAAAAATGTTATTATGATGTCTGACAATAATGAAGGTTGCAGATAACTTAAGTTAGATAGGTCAGTCGATAGCGCTCACATTTTTGTGAATCAAACATTCTGTTCTAAGGGAAATATTAATGCTCTCATATCCTTTGCACTCTTTGAGGTTAGATAAAAGAAGACCTTAGGGTGACCATGTTCTGTTTTTTTTTTTTTAAATAAGAGGACACTGGGGCAGCAGGGCGGCACAGGTGAGACTGTAGAAAGCAAATGTCCTGAACAATTTAGATACATTTTTAGATGTCATAAAAGTGGCCACCCTAGATGACCAGTTCTCAGAATCTAATGTTGCACCATCTTTAGGCTAGCTTTAGATGGTGAAACTTGCATGCAACTAGTTGCATGTTGTGAGTTGCAACATAATTCCCATGCAACTTAGCAGTTACAAGCACCAATAAAATCAAGTTACACACAATACATTCAGTTACTTTGCTAGTTAACTGTCCGGTTAACCATCTCCTGTTTTATTTTCTTGTCCACTGATCCAGTAAAATCAGTCGTTTTAAAGTATGTATGTTTGGTGTGATCATGTGACTTGTTATCAGCGTTTTCATTGGCTGTTTCATAAAACCTGTTTGACTACGTTGAGTTGCTTGCAACTGTTGTGACTGAGTTTCAAGTGAGTTGCAGGATGCTTTACGTTATGCTCAAGCGCAATCTAGTTGCATGCAAGTTTTAAGCAACTATTTCAAAGGTGATATTTATTTGATCAGTTTGTTCATTCAGACTGAACCTTTCAGACGACTATAAAATAAACATATTTATGAGGAGCTGTTGTATTATGAGCCTAGTAATCTGATTTAGTTTTTGGTGACGCACTTGACACCGGACCTAATACAATGCGGCCTGTTACCAAAAACAAGTTTGACACCCCTGGTTTAGATGCTACACTCAGCATTGGGGAAGAAAGAGCAGCTGGAGATCTATTCCTGTATCCAGTAGTAAAAACAAAAAAACAAAAAATGTAGCATCAAACCCCAAAGCAGGTTTTGTGCATGTGCGTTCGTACATTGTGATTTCTTCTTTTTTCTCCTTAAAGTGTGTCTCAGATTGTACAGCTGAGCTTATAAGGAATGAAAGTGTCTCATGCAAACCAAGAAAGTGCATTTAAAAAAAAAAAACAGAACAAAAGAGGACTTTGTGTTTGTTTCTTCTTTTTGCAGCTCGTCGTTTCACACAGTCGCTTGAGGAAGTGCGCAAGGCCAGAGCTGTGAGAAATGAATGTCTTCTTGTACAAGCAAAACAAAACGCTGGTACCACCTCTGTCAAATAAAGGAATAGAAATTCCACTGCCTTACATCAACATCAAACGCCTCTGAAGTCTTTGTTGAGGAATCAAACAGCACCTTTGTTACGTCTAGTTTTAGGCTGATCGCTTGAAAGCAGCAGGCAGTCTTCTTGTACATTGTTCTCTTTCACCTTTAGTCCAGCACGAGAAAGAGATGGAGAGAGAGACAGAGAGAGAGAGATGGAGGGTGAGAGAGCGAGAGAGGGAGATATGGAGACTGCAATATATATATACATACAATGGGGTCCAAAAGTTTGAGACCCTTGATAAAAATGTTCCTGTTTTGCATTCCTTTCTTATTCAGTACAAAATTTTTCGAGCTGGACTCCACAATTTTGTGCAAAAGCCTCTGAGGAGTAGATCGAATTCATCTGAGAGTTTCAAAGTTTCAATGGAAGAGATAAAACAAAAAAAAATCTGACTTTTTCATACACAGGTCTTAACATGGTCAAAATCCACTTTTCCAAACTTAGAAACGGTGAAAAAACTTATATTTCTTATTAAATATTTCTTACTTACTTATCAAAACTTTTCTTTGTTTGAAATTTGATAAAACTCTAAAACTTTTTTGTTTATTTTTCAGTTTAAGTGATCTCTTTTGGACCCCATATATATGTATATATATATATATATATATATAAAGAAAGAAAGTAAGAAAAAAAGAAATATTGAATGAGTGACTGTGTGAGAGAGAGAATTCGTTAGGGAAAGTGAGAAAGAAAGAAAGAGTGAATGAGTGAGTGAGTGAGTGCATGAGATAGAGAGAGAGAGAGAGAGAGAGAGAGAGAGAGAGAGAGACAGAGAGAGACTCAGAGTATGTGACTGACTGTGTGTCTGTCAGGGCTGATTTCAGGGTTGGGTCAGGCTGGACATGGCCCAACAAATTTTCAGTCTTGCCCAACCAAACAACTTGTCCTTTTTCTGGTGACTCAGCCATTCGCCAGAGTGGAAAAATACACGCTTTAATGAAAACAGTATCGATGACCAGGTTCTGTTTTCTGAGAGGGGACGGACATCACCGAAATGCTAACACTATTCACAATGAAGTAGAAAAGAGATCCAGGGTTCTTCCTCTTTTTCTGCTGTTGGACAAGAAAAGAATATTTGTTTTCATTAAAAACCAGACGACTCCATAAGCGCTGGACTGGGTTGAGTTCCTTGTTCACACTTCTCGTTTGTGTTGTTTTTCAGTGGTCCTCAGTCTTGGTTTCTCTAAGAGGACTGGCTCAAATCACTGCTTATAACAGAAGCCTAAACCTTTTGCTGTATTTCTTGAACACACAGTCTCATCGCCGTCCACTGATGTTTCACATTGCTATGAATGGAGTGTCCAACAGTTCTTGGTGATGCTGGTTTATAATTGTTGTCCTATCAAGTCCCAGGTTGGTGTATTGTCACAGGTCCATGGTGCTGGTCGTATGTTCGCGGGTATGGGCTAGAGGGGTCGAGAGGGAATGGCAGTCAAGTGGCTGACCCATACCTGGCTGACCAGCATTGGTCTGAGCTAAGGGGTTTCTGCTGATGACCAGCTCCAGTTTATCACCAGCTTCTGTGATTAGAGGCACGGCCAAGCAGCAGTCAAAGTCTCGCGTCCGGACATGATTCACCTGGGGAGGCGACATAGATACGAACGATAAACATGCTTTAATAACATCTTCACACCTCACAACTTGCTTTTTTGGATAAATTTGATTTTTGATTCAGACAGAATCCCCCTTATCACAAGTGTAGATGATCAACAAAGACATATTTGGTATCTGAAGTGCTTCTTTAGTTTTGCACTGGAGCTTAGAAGCAATAGAAGCTTGTAGCTACCAGGGCAGCATCGAGCAAACTGCAAAGGCTTATTCACACCATGTACATTTTTTGGACAGGAAAAAACGATGTGAATATTAACGCAGTGCAACCTTCACATCAAGTTCAATGCAATCCATAGCCTTTTTCTGCAGGCCCCCTAGTGGCCATTCAGTCGGTGGAATGAAAATCGGCTCAGATATTTTTAATTAATGCAATCAAATACAATATTTTTTAACAGTACCTCTTGTGCCATGCACCCGTACCATGGGCCCAGATGACAGCCGCGATAACCGGCGGGGCCCAAATCCAGAACACTGCTGTGGGACATGCGGGAGGAGGACATCAGCCAGCAAAGAGGGGATGACGACGCAGACGGCCACGAGAGGCACGAAGGCAAGATGCGAGTCCTGAACTCCGCCGCCCAGGCCCCGCCTCCTGTTCCACAGCGAGGCTGCTTCATTCCACTTTACGTTCGATCCAGATCCAGAGCGGGGGCGGTGACGGCGAGGCGGAACAATGAGCTCTTTTTAAAGGTGTTCACGCGTCTCTGTCGCCACCCCCCAATTCCGCAGCTCGTCCGCCTGGATTGAATAAAGGCAAATCAAAATGGCCTCACAGCGGGACTGGAGGCGGTGCCCAGGAAGTGGGGCTCGGGACTTGCGTGCCGCCCCCCACTCCCTCGCAGATTTAATCCTCTTCCTGCCGTCTTTGCAGGGTTTCGTCTGGGCTTGGAGTTTGGGCCCCGCCTTCCTGCTGGCTCTTATGGCTGTCATCAGGGCCCAGGGGACGAGCGCATGCCACACCTCTGTCATCAGATTAACTAGGACACTGTGATTAACTACGACAACTTCAGAGAAAAAACAAGCCTTGGCCAATTGACTACATTTGCATCATGTATGAATTGAATTTTTGGCCAGACATAACCACAGGCAACATTTCACTTCAACGACTGAGAAGACTAATTTGCATAAATAGTTAAAACAAATGAAAAAGTAACAAAAAAAAGGTTAATATATACAAAATCAGGGTCATTTCTATTGGGAGGTGTCTGTCCCAAACCCTAACCCCTAATTTACACTTGTGACAATAATACTCACATTTTCTTGCACATTTTTCAATGTTGCTCTTTTAAAGTGAAGTTAAAAGATTTAGATTTATCATGAGCTTAATTTTTAGATTAAAAAAAACTATTTTTAAAATGTTTTCATGTCACCACTGAAAAACTCTCAGTTCATAGGCAGAGCCTTATTTTAGCCATGCCCATGTATTTTAGAGCAAGAGGTGAAACTGCATCCCTGTCCCTCATGGCCACACAGTGAGCAGTTAGATACCATTGTTGTGTAGTAAATGTGTCCCAAAGACCAAAAATCAGTGAATAAATTAACAAAAAAGACAAACTATTAATTGCAATTATTCATATGATAATTAATCGTCAGCTAAAATTTCATGACTGTGGCCCAGAAATCAGTGAAGTAAACAGCTCAGAGGATCCTAGAAGTTAAATCAGTCTGACTTTAACAATACATTATGGTTGCAAATGTCGGCCCTGTGGTCTCTTTTGCAAAGGCTATAAAACCGCAAAGGAGAGGAAAAAACTGTCCACAAATATCTCACGTTTTGGCTGGACATCTACTCGCTGGACCTCTTTTTACTGTGAGTATTTATGGCTCTTTTGGTAACTTCAATAGGCAGACTTTATTAAATGTTGTTAGAGCTCGGTCTGAAACAGCACTGGGTTGAATTTCCTCTTTACAGCATGTGAGAACAAATGCACTGAAACCAGCTGCAATCAATAAAGCCTCTTAAAGCTACAGGAGAAAGTGTTATTGGACTCCAGTTCCCACTGATCTGACACAATCTTATTTCCTTGGGCTTTTGTAGGTTGTGGTGGATTTGCTAATATATTGAACAAGTTTATGGTATGCAGCGATTACAGCAGTCATATACACTATACTGCCAAAAGTATTCACTCACCCATCCAAATCAGTGAATTCAGGTGTTCCAATCACTTCCATGGCCACAGGTGTATAAAAACAAGCACCTAGGTCTGCAGACTGCTTCTACAAACATTTATGAAAGAATGGGTCGCTCTCAGGAGCTCAGTGAATTCCAGCGTCATACCGTGATAGGATGCCACCTGTGCAACAAGTCCAGTCATGAAATTTCCTCACTACTAAATATTCCACAGTCAACTGTCAGTGGTGTTATAACAAAGTGGAAGTGATTGGGAACAACAGCAACTCAGACACAAAGTGGTCAGCCACATAAAATGACCGAGCAGGGTCAGCGGATACCGAGGCGCGTAGTGCACAGAGGTCACCAACTTTCTGCAGAGTCAATCGCTACAGACCTCCAAACTTCATGTGGCCTTCAGATTAGCTCAAGAACAGCGTAGAGAGCTTCATGGAATCGGTTTCCATGGCTGAGCAGCTGCATCCAAGCCTTACATCACCAAGCGCAATGCAAAGCGTCGAATGCAGTAGTGTAAAGCGCCGCCACTGGATTCTAGAGCAGTGGAGACGTGTTCTCTGGAGTGATGAATCGCGCTTCTCCGTCTGGCAATCCGATGGACGAGTCTGGGTTTGGCGGTTGCCAGGGGAACGGTACTTGTCTGACTGCATTGTGCCAAGTGTAAAGTTTGGTGGAGGGGGGATTATGGTGTGGGGATGTTTTTCAGGAGTTGGGCTCGGCCCCATAGTTCCAGTGAAAGGAACTCTTAATGCTTCAGCAGACCAAGAGATTTTGGACAATTTCATGCTCCCAACTTTGTGGGAACAGTTTGGGGACGGCCCCTTCCTGTTCCAACATGACTGCGCACCAGTGCACAAAGCAAGATCCATAAAGACATGGATGAGCAAGTTTGGTGTGAAAGAACTTGACTGGCCTGCACAGAGTCCGACCTCAACCCGACAGAACACCTTTGAGATGAATTAGAGCGGAGACTGCGAGCCAGACCTTCTCGCCCAACAAGAGTGTCTGACCTCACAAATGCGCTTCTGGAGGAATGATCAAAAATTCCCATAAACACACTCCTAAACCTTGTGGAAAGCCTTCCCAGAAGAGTTGAAGCCTTCCCAGAAGAGTTGAAGCAAAGGGTGGGCCGACATCATATTAAACCCTATGGATTAAGAATGGGATGTCACTCAAGTTCATACGTGTGTGAAGGCAGACGAGCGAATATTTTTGGCAATATAGTGTAGGTGGTGCAGTTGAGGAGCAGAGGAATCACAGGCTTTTATTTAACTACGTAGGCGGAACAGTAAGATCACATGAGGGTATGCGTGAAGGGGAGAGCTGGTACCTGTAGAATTCTGTCGTACGGTTTGAGTCCTGCACGGTCTGCTGGACCCTCAGGCCGGATCATGTTCACATACACACCTTTTTCCAAGAAACCGTCCGACACGCTGAAGCCAAAGTCATCTCGTTCTGGGTCTTTAATCACAGTCACCTGAAGAAGATGGTGCATTTTAGCAAAGCTGCTGAATACATCGTTCTCGACACTTCAGATTGAGGTGCTGTTTGTTTATCATTTACTCATATAAGGACTATTTGACCGAAAACTGCAGTCCCATCTTAAAAAACATTTAGAAATAGCATCCAGTATTCAGACCTTTAAAGCTTACAAGGGTTATGATCTATTTAAACCCAAGGCATTAATTGAGAGAGTAAAAAGGTTAATATATACAAAATCATCACTTACAGGGTGATTTCTATGTCTGTGACCCTAACCGCTAAGTTTACACTTGTGACAATCATACTTACATTTTTTTGTAGATTTTTCAATGTTGCTCCTCAAAAGATGTACTTGATTTCTTTTAAAGTGAAGTTAAAAGATTTAGATTTATCACAAGCTTAATTTTTACAATCTATTTTAAAATGCTATTTAAAATCCCACATTTTCATGTCACTACCGAAACACAGTTTTACTTCATAGGCAGAGCCTTATTTTAGCCACACCCCTGCATTTTAAAGCAGGAAGAGAGACTGCATCCCTGTCCCTCATGACCACATGGTGAGCAGATCTCACTGTTTTGAAGAAAATATGTCCCAAAGTCTGAAAATCAGTGTGAAACATTAAGAATTGCCACTACTGTCACTTCTGCAAGTAAACCTTTTTTGTGCGTAATGAAAATATAATGATTTTCTGTGTGTACAACTGTTGTTTGCTAGTCATGTACTAGCTAGCATTTTTGAGTTTTGCTTAAACTTAGCTGAAACAGTTACTACTGAAACATTTGGTTTCATCAGTGTTATGATTGAACATTTTGTCACTAACAAAACAATCATTTATTTTAATAAAACATATATAATTAAGTCACAGGGTCACTCAAAGCAGAAGGATTTTAGTCTAAAATATGAGTCAGTTAAAAGTCCAAAAGGTGTTTTCAACTCAGACTTGGAGCCAATTCATAGAATGTGAGTATCAATACAGCATCATCTTGACAAAAAATCTGACAGAAGTTTCTTTCTACCACAAATGCAGTCAATCAGAAGTTTTGCATTGGTGCTATGAGGCTAATGCAGCTAACAAGCAATGGAAGTTTAACATCTTCATTAAATAAACAAAGGTACACTGAATATTTAGACTTCTACATGGCTACTACTGCTGCACTGACTGTCCTTTTTTATAGATAACTTTATGCCATACAGCTCCAGAAACAGCTTAAACAAGTCTGTCTAAGACTGCATTATCACACGGTTTTGCATAGATGGGTGGTGACTAAGGCATAGTTTACAATCACACTTCTAGCAAGTTTTATCATTCTTTGCATGTAGTCACCTGCTCTACTAAGCCTTTCAGAGCGAGATATAATCACCAGACAAAAAATGTTTGTAAAGTTCAGCCCACAACATATTTTGAAGTCTTTCCAGAGTGCTCTGTGAAGCTTTTAGTAGCTTTAGGTAAGGTACCCTCACATGTTTGGGTTTGTTTTGGTCGTAGCTGAATTTTGGGAATCGCCCCCACACCTCATGCTGACATAGTGTATGGTAGGTTAACTGACGGTCAGTCAAAGGGCCCTTTCCTGTCAATGTACGCAGTTCTTGGAGACCTCAAGGAACAAAATGCATGAGATTCTCAGAGGTCAGACTTGTAAGATTAGCATGATTCAAATTAGAGGGATTTAAGATTACCATTGCACGTTAGCAACATTAGCCTCATAGCTCCAGTGAATTACAAGCTGAGTGATTATATTAAAGGTATATATTTGATTTTTGGTCAAACTATTGCCTTAAAAACAGGGTATGGTTTCTGTGTAGAACAGACAAAATCTGGCTGTATGACACAGCTCAGATGCAGGTCCCTCAGGAGTCAGGACTACTCTGTGAAGGTTATGTGGACATGTGCCACTGACCTTGTGCAGCTCCAGCGGTGTGGGGGACAGGATCTCCTGCATCTCCTCCTTGATGCGGCGGGATTCCCAGGTCTTCTCAGACATGCGCAGTGTGCTTTTGCTCTTGGTCTCGTTGTGCAGGTGCGGGCTCTTCCTGAGAGGGCTGATGTTGGGCTGGGAGAGCGACTCACTGTGGGCCTTGCTGCCCTCTACTCCCAAACTCAGAGCGCTGCCGGTCATTATGGAGGCCTGAGGGAGAGAAGCCAAGCACCACTCTGATTATAGGCACCGATTACTGCTAAATCAGGTCAGTACCTTTCAATAAGGACCTCTGTATGTGGCCCTGATTGGCAGCCAAGGAGTTATTTAGCAATTATCTAATCCGGCCCAATAAAACATAGTTGATTGGAAGCAATGAAGACTGCATTCATTAGCCTTTAGAAAGCTTCAGTCTGCTCCCTTTCTTGGAACTTTACCAGAAATTCTGTCGACACTCTACTACCATATTACATCCTGATGCTGACTTACAGGCATGACTTCCTGAGTCAGCATAAGGGCTTTTATCTAGGGCCGGAAAGACAGGTTGGTTTATCGACAGCCATGGTAAAATTTAAAGAGTAATTCGTTCTGTTTCACTTCAACTCTAGTTTTAGTTTTAATTACACACAGCAGTGAGCTGCCCATGAGTGAAAGTCACACTAGAGTGCTGTGACACATGTAAAATGGCATCATAAGCAATACTTTTCGCTTTTTTTTACAGCTTTAACACACTGAATCCTTCACATCAAGTTCAATGTGCTTTTTTTTAACACTGAGACTGTGAGAAGAAGATGTAGAGGAAGAAGAAAAGGATTTGTCTAATAGTAATGGCAACAAAGTTATACATTTGGTAACACATTATTTGGATGGTCCACTGTAGATGCTTTGTAAATGCTCAGTATTTCTTTAAGTAACATTTAACTAAATATCCATTAAATGCAACTTAACATCAAGTTCAGTGTGAAAGATTTTATTAAATCTATCCCTAACTCTGATCCTAACCCTAACCATAATGTTGTTGATAATGAACTGAACATCACCAGAAGGTTTGTTAATGATTTTAGTATCTGATAGAGCATCTATAGGGGACCATCCAAATAAAGTGTGACCATACATTTTCCTTTAGCTTGTGTGACTCAAGGACGCAGACACTAGGTAACAGCCCATTCTGCTAAAAAGTTCAGTACACAGTACTGACTCCAGCAGTGCTCTAGAAGCTCTACAGTATCTGTATAAATGCCCAATCTGCAGTTAAATAATGAAAATGATTGTCAATAACATTATGTGCACATAGCAATTCACTAATACAAACAAATACTGAGACTGTACGTTGCATATAAAGACTTTAGCTTTATACTACTGACACAGTAAATAACCACCTCCCGAAAACATAAAACATAGCTTACTTAATACAGTAGAAATTCATATACTGCATATAATTACTCAAGCAGCCACCATTCTATAAAAATAACCACACTACACAATCATATCACTCTACCCAAAGGCTACATTTTGTTCATTTCACATTTTATTCTTTTCAATCATTGTAATTTTAACACTATAAATGTGTATAACCTCTGGCCTGTGGAGGGGAGGGGGGGGTGCAGTGTACCTCCCACTTGACCCCAAACTCAGTCTATGAGGACAACCACTAGCGTATGAACCGCTGAATCAGTTTGTTTTATTGACTCACTATCCAAGCATCAGCATGAATTAGAGCTTAAATTATATATAGGAAAAAAACTGGGTGTCCATTGTAAATGCTATGTAAATAAGGTATTCGTTCTCAGGCGCATATTTCCACACACTGAAGCTGATTCACCAATTGTGCACAAGTCACTGCTTGTTTCATCATGGCAGGATAGTTTCCTGAATCAGATGCAGAGTAGTTTGTACTGAGGATGTTCAAATCAGTGCTCTTTTCTACGCAGCTTTGATTAACAAGGGCCAATTCCTGTAGCCAATTCCTGGGCCATTTCCTGTAGCTCACTGATTTTAAAACTCAGTGTGAAAAGGCCTTAAGGCTTTGTTGCCCCAGAAACCATTCTAGACAAAAGACAAAAGGAAAACTAACATTCCCATGACTTTAAATAATGACAAAGTCTATATTTATTGTTTTTTTCCCAAAACTGCTCATCACCCCAGTCCCCAAGTCAGCTCTGGTTTGGTGCAAATCAAGACGCAAAGGAGACTTTCTTGCCTGACTATTAGAATTACCTGTACAACTGAGCGAGATTTATTCAGATGGCAATAAATTAATTAGAGGACGTGTATGAGTGATGAAATCTTGATTTTTGTAGTTTTTGCTAGTGACACGAACTCTTTATTGTCACGATGACATCCAAGTTCATGGATAACACTGGTTTCCAGCAACTGGAACTTTTTTGCAAACATCAAAAAGATTAGACTCTCCAAAAGCAGCTCAAACGGGTTCAAACTTGGCTATGCTAAAGTTTGGGTCAAATGACAGGTTTTGATTTTCTAAGTGCAAGTAAGTTAAAACATCCTCTGCAGAGAACACACTACTGCACAATTTAATGCACCAGTTACTGTTAATTTGCTGAATTAACTAACATATTGGGGAAAAGTAAATTATAAAATGTGGCCTGTACAAAAGCTATAGCCCATTATATATTTTGTTTTTTCAATATTTTAAACTCTAAATTTCAGTAAAATGTTAAAAAAAAATGTAATTTTTATACCTGTAGAGGATGTGTTAACTTATTTTCACAATCCATTTCCATTTTGGAAAAGTGAAAATAGCAGTGAGGGCTTCATCGCTTCATCAGAAGCTGAAACTTTGAGTGTGTTCAAACTTTTGCATATGACTATATGTGGAAGTACTTAAAGTTCAGCTTCTGATCCCTCAATGCTACTTTCACTTTTCCAGAATGGAAAGCAGCCTGACCAGTGTCACCAAACAAAACACGTCGTACTTGCACTTGAGGACACTCCCCCCGTTTGTTGTGTGCTTTGTCACGTATAGAGCTGCATCTCCCAAAGCAGCTCGAACTCAGCTGAGGTCCTAGCTGTGTGGGAACATACTCACAGCGTTTTAGTGCCGGAATGCGGCAGATAAACTCCATTCTCCTTTCACTTTTCCAGAATGGAAAGAATGCAGCATAATGTCACAGTTTGACCATTTCATGAGAAGCACAGGATGTTGTATTGATAGATTTCCTGCTCTCTTTTTTTGCAGTGCAAATTCCAAAAAATCCAAATAATATCCATTCCAGGGAAGGGAAAGGACCAGGTGGGGGAGTTTAAGGCTACGTTCACTTTACCAGGTTGAAGTAGCACAAATATGATTTTTTACTCTAATGTAACCCAGATCTGATGTTTTCAGGGCTGTGCAAATCTGATCTTTTCAAATCCGACCTGAGCCACTTTCATATGTGATCCTAGATCGGATACGTATCTGATTCGTGGCCATGCGACCTTAATGTGACGCTCAGATCGGATTCATGTGCTTTTTTCCCACTGCACGTGCACCGTCTATTAGCATTACCATGGCAGCAGCGCCGAACAGAAGTTAAAGCCTGTAAACGATGGAAAAGCAACACATCTCACCTTTTTCTCCTTCATCTCGCTCTAGTAATGAACAGCTGAGAGCTGATCAGAGTTGACTATCTTTGCAGCGAAGGCTCGTTCTGCTCGTTTGTTTGCTGATGATGCGTGTGATTTGTTCACGTGACGTTACTGAGTAGGATGTGCATATGCGAATCATTTCAAGACGCTGGTTCGCTCACATTAATGACAGATTTCAATCACTTACCTGAGATTTGAATGTCAGAGAGATCGGATTTGAGCAAAAAATCGGATTTGAGCAGTAAGGCTTGTAATATGAATGTAGCCCAAGAATCTCGAGTCTTGTTTACGAGTGATGGGAACAGGGACTGTGAGATCGGCCGCAGGCTGGGACAGGCGGCAGCAGTAATGTACTGGACTGTAGTGGTGAAGAGGGAGCTGAGCCATAAGGCAAAGCTCTCTGTTTACCAGTCGATCTACATCCCAACCCTCACCTGTGGTCATGAGCTTTGGGTAATGCTTGAAAGAATGAGATCACAGATACAAGAGGCAGAAATAAGCTCTCTTTGCAGGGTGACAGCTACACTATACTTGATAGGGTGAGGAGCTCGGTCATCGGGGAGGAGCTTAAAGTAGAGAGGAGCCAGTTGAGGTGGTTCGGGCATCTGATTAGGATGCCTTCTGGCTGCCACCCGTTGGAAGTGTACCAAGCATGGCCTACTGGTACGAGACCCCGAGGTCGTCCTAGGACCCGCAGCAGGGACTATATCTCCAAGTTGGCCTGGGAGCTGCTAGGGGTCCCCCAGAATGAGGAGGAAGTTGCAGGGGGACAGGGTCATCTGGGATTCTCTGCTTTCCCTATTGCTACCACAACCCTACCTGGACCCCAAAAAAATGTGCTGTATCTGATGTGTATAGTTTTTAGATCAAAATATTCTGCATTTGAGTCACTGCGTTGTCATAACAGTCTTCAGACTATTAGAATTACCTTTACACAGCAACATCAATGGATTTCGTGGATGAAACTCCACATGTAACCTTGATATAACCTGACCAAGTGTTTGTGCTGGTTCACATGGAAACAATTATGTTCTTTTAATACCAAATATTGCCAAAACATCTAGTAGCCCTTGTGCCAATGTTTGCATAATCACCATACTTATTTGGTGTCTCTAAAGATTCATTCTTACATTCTGGATTAAACATGCACCACGTTTCTTTTTGTTTTTCCTATTTAAGTCTCTCCCAAGCCTTTGCAGTAATACATGTGGCAAATCAGAAGTCATGTACATATGGCTTCTTATCTGCCAGGTGAGGTTGACAAATGTCATCTGTATAGCTAACTTATCAGCCCAATGCACAATGGTTACCAGCCATGAACCTCTACTTCAGACACAACTGCCTCAAGCTCCTTCAGCTCCTTCCAAGTTATGATCACTGTATATGGCCATGGGAAACCATAAACCTGATATTTGAACAACATCCCACCTACAGTAACAGCCAATACCGACTCGCCAGCTGTGTTGTGTAAATATGAGCCGACATGAGGGATTCTCTGGCCCGATCATGTGCTTTTCTTATCAAGCACGCTTTATTTCCTGCATGGCTCTGCCAAAGAAAACACAATGATGTTATTAATAATACATGATCAAGTGAAACTGGTGGTGCAATCCATCACAGTG